ACTACAGAATTGCAGATCTTTGCCAAAAAACGGAATGATCTGCGTTACACAACTTTCAACAATCCCTGACTGTAATACGTATTCCATTTAATACAAATTGGTAAAAGTAATAAAATTGGGGGTTTCAAAATTAAAAGAATTTATTTTGGTAAATTAGGTGACGTATTTGTTTTTTTTTGGAATAAACTTTCGACTTAAGATCAGAATGTACTTATTTATGTTTAAACTATATAGCGACTATGGCATAAATGAATTCAAATTTTATTTGGGTCTGAACCAGGAAAATGTCATACTGGAATTCTCCAATTAGGGGTTTCAGAATTAATCCAATAGGGTGATTCAAAGTTAACTTATTTCAAAAACAAATAGGGGTTTGAAACGTCCTATTTCTATTTTGAAAATTTGAATGAAATAGGCGATATTCGGAAATGAAATGAATAGTTTTTTTTTGTTTTTGATAAAATATTGTTATTGTATGATGTAGTCATAATAAATTAATAAAGAAAATTCACGATCGTTAAAATATTAATTATTATTATATAAATAAGCTTACAAATCAAAATAAATAAAATTTACGAATCACTGATTTCAAAATAATTACACCACTAATTTAATTCGAAATCGGAAACCATGAGCATTAGGATTGAATCACCCTAATATCAGGTAAAATAAGTGACTTGTTTATTTCAAAATAAGCAACGTAAGGATTCTAATTTTTTAAAAGTATGTACCGATGAATGTTATTAAAAAACATATGGGCGGAAATTTTTGATTTTGTGATTATTTAAGTTGAATGATGAGATTAAATAGGATTTGAGCCAATAATACATATGATACAATGTGATTACTAGTATTAAAAGTGATTATTTGTCGGTGATTGTAAAACTGCTTATGAGTTACTTATCAGTTACTTATCAGTTACTTATCAGTTACTTATCAGTTTTTATGAGCAGTATACCGAACAGATTAGCTAAAAAAAACTAGAATGATCCAAAATTGATCCATTACTTATCAAAATTGATCCGTTACTTATCAGTTTTTATGAGTAAATCACCTAATTTTATATAGTCACAGCACTACTAAAAATTTCCGCCCATATGGTATGTTATTAATTTTTCGTGTAATTTTAACTGGGTGTTGGGATTCTGTTCCGAGGAAATAAGATCAAATTGAAACTAGAGATGTGCTCATTAGCGAGAACTCGTGCGAAATGAATTTTCGTCCTGCATAAGATTATTTCATATCTCACACGAGGCCATGTTTATCATTGTATTTATATTTAGCTTACTTTCAATTATACTATATTAATTTTTAATATTAAAAACATTTAATTAAATTAATTCAACTATCTAACCCATCGTTAAAAATAGCCGCGAAATTATCAAAGTGTATGCCATTTTTATTGGTATCACTACTTTCAATAGACCCATCTCCAAAAGATTTAAGAACGCGTATCAAATGTTGATAAAATCTTGCCATTTTTTCGTCATCTTGCTTTGACACATGACAAAGAGATGAAAAAAATTCTTCATTAGTACCTTGCGGATTATCAACATCTTGGACAAATGGCTAAATAAAAGGCATAAGCTAAATTAGTAAAATTTTAATAAGTAAATAAAGGTTTACAATTTTTAAAGTTCTATAGTTATACCATTTTTTTATTTGATCTCATCGATTCATAATTGTTATTAATATTACTTGATGAATGTGTGGATGAAAATATTGGTTCACCGAATGTAGGATTTTGACAAGCATATAATTTATGCAAATTTTCTTGATCATCAAGTAATGGAACAAATCCAAGAATAGAAGCAGATGATCCATATTTTGATACCAAAGTTTCTTCGACTACTAATATACTGACTAATGCATCATCTATACTTCCAACGCTTCGAAGACATAGCTTAATATAGAAATGATGAATGAGACATTATATAAAATGTCAATAACATTCACAAATTATAATAAGCAATCTCACCTTCGAGTGACAACAAGCTAAGCGCAGTAAAGTCTACGTTTATTATTGTAGTAAATAAATGTAAATACCCAGTATTATTGATTAATCGTTCACATATTCACATTTTTGTCGAAGAAAATACTATTCAATCCTTTTGTCATGTACCTCAAGCAATGCAGTTGAAGAAGCAAAACCTTGGCTAGCTCCTTTAAGTCTACGGCACATCAAAAAGTATTTACGAAGGAGGTCTTTACACTCCGTTGATAACCTACATGAGTCACAAGTAAAGTGTAAAAGAATGTATTGAATTTATTTGAAAGATCTTTTGATATGAAGAGATTGAAAAAACCTTACTTGACATCAATATTACTCGCAATAGAGATGAACTGTTATTGTTTTCATTGATTACTAATATAAAATGGAAATTGTAGAATATAGCAAATAGTTAATATATATTTCATTTTACCTGATGAAGATCATCAAAGGATAATCCGAATTGATTCTTTTTATTTTCAAGGTTTAACATTTCTTTGTCAAGTAAATGGTCCACTAATAAACCATTAGCTTCAGAATCAACACATTCTTTAAGGTATGCAACTAGATCAAATGTACTATGTTTCAAAAAGGAAGGATTATGATTTATATAAAACTATAATATTCGAATCAAAAATAAATCAATAAAGAAATAAATGATTTCTATATACTAACTCTATGATTGGTTTAACCGGGTCATTACAGATAGGCTACATATATATGAGAAAAAAAAATTGCAAGTTTATAAATTGTCAAATATAGGACGTTTATACGGCATTGATACTCACTTCAATTCCTTCACTTTCTGTCGACCTGAGATTAATACCCTTGCCAGTAGGTCTCGCGACAGACCATCCCAAACAACAAGTATTTACATCAATACATAATTTATGGTAGCGATTTTGTGTTGATAAACTTGGACTTTTGCTCATGACTAGAAAATGTATAATGCATTAGAATATAAGTTTAGATGTTTGTATGAACTATATGTACGCATATTTGCTTACCAAGTCGTAGTGATTCTACATCTCTTTTACTCAAGGTGTCTAAATTTACCACGAGGATGCCGCTCTGTGACCTTGCAAGGATAGTAGCTAAATTAACAAAGAAAAACAAAAGCATGAGTGAAATTTTAATTAATAATATATACGTTTCATAGAGTTGCTTACATTCAATAAAGTTTTCTTTTGCAGTGCTGTTCCCATTCTGAATTATAAAAAGTGGTTGTTTCTTTTGACCATTGCCATATGACCATTCCTCGTTCCTATATTAAAAAGTCGAATAATCACTTAAATTGAGAATGTAAGTGTATTTTAAGTAAATAATATATTTGAAAAAACCTTTTCAATTTTGACACATGTCTTATCATTTTAGGAATTATAGAATTGTATCCATCGCTGATGATCATAATATGAATGCTTGGTGAGATACAGTGATTCTTTGATTGTTTTTCAGAAAGGGCAACTAGACTTTATTTTATGCAAATTTATAAATTAATTAATAAACATGTACCAAATCGAATTTAATAATAACTAAAAAAAACAAAGCAAGCAATTAATAAATTCATATACCTCAATAATAAGAATAGTTTGATTTTTCTATAGGCAGAACGTGGAACAATATCTTCTATAAAAAAAAAAAAACAAGTATTAATTTGTATAGCCTAACAAAAGAAATGACATAGTTACAGATTGTCAAGTACCACAGAATACATCTACAAGTCTTTGTGTGAATCCCCAAGCTGACAAGTTTACTATTAAAAATCAAAAATTAAAATAGATGCCAAATTAAAAAAGATTCATTTGAATTTACTTTTGAACTCACATTTTTTAAGAATTTTAATGTAATTTGGGAGAACAGATAGATGTTGCTCATCGATGAATGAATTTATATGACCCGAGATCGCTTCGTTCTATGATTAAAATAACAGAATGAGAAATAATATTGAGGTAAGAATTTTTTTATAGATAAGATAGAATAATTACCATAATGACTTTTTTTATATTATTAACCTAGATTGAGCATAAAAAAATTGACCATTATTATAAAGGATAAAATAAATCTAAGTACCGGTATTAAAAAATATTCATATAATATACCTGGACATGCAAACAATTATCATACCATGATTTACTGCAAAATCTGGAATCTACCTCTACATTAACTGCTGAACTAATTGTACTTGAACTAATGATGCTAATTCAATTAACAACGCATACCATCTAACCCAGGAAAATGTCTTCCGACTAAACCAATAATTTCAACTACATGGCCTATTTCAACAGAATTTACCAAATCATCTAAAAATATATAAAAAAAAAACAATGAACAACCATATTTTGATTATTGTATTAAGAAATTGTACAAAACATGTATACCTTTCAATATCGCAATTATTGAATTGCAAAATGGACCCTTACTTTCATCTGACTTTATGCATGAAATACGGATGCATTGCCGTGCTAACAATAGTGTTGTGCATTACGTCAATAAGTACTGCACAAAGAAACGCGTACATATAAAGATAATTCTTATTTTGCTTACTTGTGTATATTCTGTCAACTACCATTTCTTTCATTTCATTACCACAATAATCACAATTCAAATCAATGTCATGCAAAGTTGTACTATAAAATTTTAAACAGACATTGATAATATGGCTTTAAAAACTAACTAATCAATCAGCAGAATATATTTGTGCAAAGACTAAGCACTACCTCGTGTTTGTCTGATTGTACTCTCCAACTTCAGTACGCTTGATAACGCGATTTTCCCGAGCACTCGGCACTACGTGCAAATAATTCTTATTACAACGTTCTACA